CTCTATCGGATCTAAGTATCTTTATCTTTCTGCCCAATTGATTTTCGACTTCATGCTTAAACTCTTTGAACTTTTCAAAAGTTTCTGACTTATGCTTGATCAAGTAGATATATCCATATCTGCTATAATCGTCAGTGAAAGTCACATAGAATCGATTAGCATCTCTTGTAGTTGATCTGAAGGGCCCACACACATCTGTGTGTATGAGATCCAACAGACCTTCACCTCTTTCACAAGACCCTGTGAATGGTGATTTTGTCATCTTTCCCAAAAGACAAGATTCACACATATCATCTGACTTTAGGTCAAATGATTCCAACACTCCATCCTTTTGGAGTTGGGCTATGCGTTTCTTGTTAATGTGTCCAAGACGACAATGCCACAAGCATGCCTTGTCTACACTATTAGACAAGTCAATATTAAGTACACTATTTCCTAGGCTATCAACACAAGTCACTGTTTCATACACACCATTACAAGGCAAAGCTTCAAACATAAAAACACCATTCTTATAAACAGAAATTGAACCATTCAAATCATTAAAAGAATATGTAAAACCTTGTCTGAACAATGCATGAAATGAAATAATGTTTCTCGTCATCTCAGACGAATAGCAACAATTTATTAAATCTAATCTAACATCATTACTAAGCAGAAGCTGATAAACTCCGATCTTGGTTACTGGTGAAGACTTTCTGTTTCCCATGATCAGGTTTATCCTTCCTCGCTCTATCTCCTCACTTTCCTTTAGACCCTGCAAATCAGAACAGATATGAAAACCACATCCTGTATCAAGGACCCATGAACGAGAAGATAATGAGTTATTAGCAGAAATAGTGTAAATACCTGCCGAAGATGGCTTCACTTTGCCATCCTTGATATCTTGCAGATATTGTGGGCAAGATCTCTTCCAATGCCCCTTTTGGTTGCAGTAAAAGCAAACTGCCTCTTTTGGATCAGAAACATGGGGAGTGGAACCATTGGGCTTAGCCTTTGGGCCATTACTAGATGACCCAGCTTGAGCCTTGCTCTTCCAGTTTTGCTTGGGAGGACCTTTCCTCTTTTTCCCCTTTCCCTGTCCAATAGCCAAAACAGGGGCACTCGTAGGTGTGGAGGGTATACTTTTACCCTTCATCCCTGCCTCAGCTGTCTGCAACAAGTTGTGCAATTGGGCCAAGGTCTGCTCAGTATTGTTCAAATGGTAAGTTAGAATAAACTGACCATAACATTCAGGAAGTGAGTTCAAGACCATGTCAATGGCCAATTCCTCATCAAAGTGAATATTGAGCTTGACCAAACGCTCTATGTAGCGTTGCATTCTTTGCACATGTGACACAACCGACTCCCCATCTTTCATCTTGCAAGCCATGAGTGACTTGACTACTTCGAACTTTTCTTGACGAGCTCGCTTATGGTACTTTTCCATAAGGTCCTTGTTCATCTCGAAAGGCCAGTAGTCCTCATAGTACCTCTGCAGTTCTGGGGACATAGTTGCCACCATGATGCATGCCACTTTGGTAGCATCATCGTAATGTTTCTTGTAGGCAGCAAGATCTTCAGGAGTAGCTTCATTCTCATCAAGCTCTTTGAGCTCCTTTTCAAGAACATATTCTTTGTTCTCGAAACGAAGAGCCATCTTGATGTTGCGCATCCAATCGTTATAGTTTGAGCCATCCATAACGACTTTGGAGCATATATTGAGCAAAGAGAAGTTTTGGTTGGAGGAGGACGAAGCAGAAGTGTTTCCAGGAGTAGACATCTGAAAAGAAAGAAAGTTTTAGTTAGATTTCAAGATACCTTAATATAATAACCCAAAGATAAAATATCAAGGTTAGGATCCAACTATGAAGATTCACAACTTAGAAATGGGATGCCGAGATCCAAGTGCAAATTTCATAAAGGTAGGTGAATGACGATTCACCAATTCCACCATTAGACGAAACAAACGAAGTGAAATTCCTAATTCTTTTGAGATACATTGAAACTATTCAATGGCATGTTTTAATCTCAGATTATGCTCTTCTATTTGTGACTGGGATGCCGAGGATCACAAACAAGATGTGAATAACCATGCAAATGTGCTTGGTAACCTCATTGTCTTTATCATTAACTATTGATGTGCTGGTAAACCACACACGCTCCATCAAAATGACAATTATGAGATACCCATTACTACTCTTTATTAGTGCCTTTTAGTGTGCTGGTTAACCACACACGCTCCACTAACGACCAATAAAGCATAATGTGCAATTTCATGGATTAGCATACTTTTCACATTTTTCCTAAAGTAACTAGAGTTGGGATTTTGAAAATAATGTTCTAGTACTTTCTTTAATATCATTATACTTTTAATGAGAAGTAGTTGTCCTATCAAATCCGTTCTGCTAACGACCCTCCACTAATCAAGGAAGCGGTGGGTGAGAGTGGACACCCATTCAACTACCATTTTATAGGCAGTTTCCTTATACCCCCCTTATAGATTAGCTTCGTGAATGAGGCATACTAGCGATTTGACTGACCATATTCTTATACATATATAATATTAAACTTTTAATTATAATATATATATATATATAAGGTGTGTTTTAAAACATTTTAAAACTTCAAGGGTTTATAAATTTCGAAATTTAAGCTATTAAATTTAAATTTAAATAAACCAATTAACTAGATTTAATATTTATCTTTTAATTAACTATTAATCAAATTATTAAATCTTGTAAGGATTATCTAATTAAATTAATCCTAATCCTTATCCCTCTAAATTTCGAAAAATAGGGTAAGGATAATTATCCAATTAATCTAATTAAGTAACAATTATCCAAAACAAGAAACCCTAAAACTTCTAGCAAATTTCGAAATTTACAAGGGAGGAGGCTAGGGTTTTCAAAACCCTAACCCTAATTTCGATTAGGGTTCTTTGGAGGCTAGGGTTTTCGAAAAAACCCTTTGATCCAAAACCCTAGAAATCGAAAATTTGGCCTTTAGGGTTTAATAGCTATAAACCCTAATTTGCAATTCAACAATTGTAGCAATTCAATTTAAAACAACAATGGCTCTGATACCACTGATGGGTTTTAGGTAAAACAAATAAACTAGAAAACAATTCCTAAGTTCACATGCAACCTACTTTGGATCTATGTTTTAACTATTGAACATACAACTTTGAATTGCAAAACAAGAACCCTAGAGGAGAGAGGCTATTTTCGAAAATAGTAAACTAGGGTTTAGGGTTTACATACCTTTCAATTGTTATAGCAAACAATTGATATTCCCTTGATCTTGATCTTGATCTTCTTGGAAGCTTTAGCACCACAAGTGTAATGCCTCTAATGGAATCACACCCAAGAACTAGCAAGAAGGAAAGTAGAAGAGAGAGAGGGGAGGGAGTATGCAATTTCGGCCTAGGGTTTCTTCCAAAGAATTCAGTACCCAAAATGTGAGCCAGGAGGCTCCTTAAATAGTTGAGGGAACTAGGGTTTAGGGAAAACCCTAGTTATCCTTTGCTTAGGGCCTAAGCAAGACCCAAGGCCTTATCTTGGAGCCCTTGGACGAATTCTCTAGGGTTTCCCCTAGGGTTTTCGTCCACCCCCTTCCAAGGGGGTTCTGGAACCTTCCACTCAACTATTAGTTAATTGCAAACTAGTCCCTGCACTTTATAATTAATTCTTTTAACCCCAAAATTAATTCTGATTAATTTCTGGCTAACAATTAATTAAACATAATGATTTCTAATTAATATATTAATTCATTAACATATTAATAAATCATTTATATTAATTTATTAATCTTATAAATTAATATCTCTCCTTTCATAATTTCCTTGTCCAGTTGCTAGGTTGAGGGCAACCCAAAAGGACTGTGCTGCTATCAATTCAAGTACATACCAATTATAGTTATGGGCTTAGACACCTAATCCAACACTTGACCCGACCCGGCATGGTCCATTTGGGTTGCATGGCACCATGCAATTGGATAAACTAAAATGAGAGAAATAACACTTATGGTTTATTAATAGTTTTAAGTTCTAAATATTAATAATATTATTTAATTAGTTTGATCAAGAATTAATTTAGAATTAATTAAGTGATCAAAAGATAACTAATTAAATATATGGGTAGATTATGTAAATCATCCATAACTTGTATAGTGGGCTAAAGGCTCCATGGATAATCAAGTTGGGTTAACCCATTGAATGCTCCATGGAGGCTCCATGGGATTACAAACCCATGGGTCATGGAAATGAAGAGTCATGCCACATTAGGGTTTACATGGTGTAACCCTAGATGTGACACACTATATAAGCAACATATTCTCCACCAAAATCAGGACAACTAAGAAACAAGAGGGTTAGAGCCGATTTTGCAAGTGTAATATTCTCTCAAAGTTTACTCCTTTGCATTTGGTGTTGTGTGAGCATTTGAGGCATCACACTTGGGGTAGGCTCACAAGGTTTCAAGGATCATAATCAACAACAAGGTAAGTTATTCTATCTTTCATTCAACTTAAAAATGTTCCCCATGTATGCTAGATAGGAATATAACCTTGGAATTCAACTTTGCATGATTATTAGACAAACATAGATCCAAGGTTATTAGGGTTGCATGTACACTTAAGAAGTGTTAGAATGCTCAAAACCCATCACTTCCTACCCTCGTCCTGATCTTGCTTCTACTCGTCGAGTCACCCCCCTTGGACTCGGAGAGTAGACCTTCTTTACTTGGGGTTTTCTTCCTGTATTTAGCCTTTTGGATATTGGGTGTTACATATACATAATTGGAGGAGACGGAACTCTACGAGGGGAGGTGAAGATATTCAACGAAATACAATGGCGGAAACTAAAAGTAGCAGTCATCGAAATCCCGAAAACAGTAGACAATGACGTTGGAATCATTGATAGGTCATTCGGATTCCAAACCGCTGTAAAAATGTCCCAATAATCCATAAGTGTGTCCAATGTGGAGACGGAGAGTGCACCGAATAGGATCGGGCTAGTGAAACTGATGGGGCGTCACTCCGGGCACATTGTCATGGATGCAACCCTAAGAAGTTGTGATGTTGATTGTTATTTGATCCTCAAAAACAAGCTTTATCTAGAAGGGAAAGGGGGTTTGTTTGAGTTTCTTGTTATTCGTTTGAAAGAACATGGACATGTAGTGGTGGTGCTGGCGGAAGGGGCGAGGTAGGATATTATTCTGAGGAGTGATTCGGAGAAGCAAAAGACGGATGAATCGGGGAATCTTGTGTTCTTAGATGTTGGGGTGTGGTTGAATTCGGAATTGAAGAGATGGTGGGAGAGAGATCATAAAGGGGAGTTGTTTACAGTGAAGTACATAGATCCGACTTATATGATACGAGCTCTTACTGTGAATGCAACTGATAACTTGCATTGTACGCTTTTGGCACATTCCACCATTAATGGGATTATGGTCGGGTATACGGGATTTGTCATCGGGCCTATCAATGGTAACTACGCTTATATTCCGATGGAGGATGTCGCTCAGGCCAAGAGTCCGGTTGGGACCAAAGACCATAAATGGGCTTGTGTTCGATCCATCACAGCTCATCCTAATTTTCAGTTCACTACGTAGACTCACTTCAATTGGAATAGAATTGGAAATGGAACTCAAAGATGGAATTGCAGAATTATAACCTTGTCTATTACTTGTTGGTATGAAATGGATGGAATTCAATGCTTAAAACTAAATGATTTTTAAACTTTTATTCGTATTTAAATAGTTTTTCGTTTTCATAAAACGTATATAATATACTTTTTTATTATTTATTTCAATATATAAATGTAAATTACCAATAAATAGCAACATAATTTTACTTCTTTGTGTTATAACATGTCATGGTATTGTATTTTGAAAAACATATCCAATGCCATCTAAATGCAAAGCATGGATGGATTTTCTGAAGTATAATGTCCTAATTATAGAGAAATAAAAACGAAAGCATAATGCTATAATTTAACAAATTTAGTTCATAAAAGGGTTATAAGGATGAGAATTTGGCCTGGAAACCCGAACCGAACCGGAACCCGAACTGAATTAGGATCGAATAAGCAATTCGATTCGGATTTCGGGTATCTATATTATGCTTATTCCGTTCTCTGGTTATTCGGTTTGGGTTACCCAAATAAGAGCTTATTCGGTTCTAAATACCCGACCCGAATAAGAATTCCTCGTCCCCTTTCTCTTATCGACAGAAATCCAAATCACGATTCACACTTATGTCCTCGTCGTTCATAACAGCAAAAAAAACCCTACGCTCGTTCTCCTCGTTTCAAAATTAACCAGTCTTCTCAACTATTTCCAAACTTGAAATCACTTCTGTCGATCCTTCCTCTTGTTTCAGAATTTCAAAAATCGACGATTCCTATTGTCTCTAAGGATTCACAAATTCTTACTTTGTCTAGTCATGGAAAACTAGGCTCCAACTCAAAAAACTCAAGTAATAAATTAATTATCTTTATGTTAAACTACTATGTAGATGTTATTCTTTCAATGTGTTATTGTGTTATGTTAGTCTTTGAATGTTTTACGTTGATGTATAAAAATACTTTTTTATTCTATTATATAGGTTATTCGGGTTATAGAATCCTAATACGATTTATTCGGTTTTTTCGGTTATATCAGATCCTTAATCATCTTGTACATGTTATTCGAGTTATCGGGTAATAACTGAACCAAACTGATTAATACCCGAACCGAACCCATATTGGTTAATCGGTTCGATTTTCGGTTCATGCAATTACCCTTATTCGGTTCTCGGGTTATTCGGGTTCGGGTCGGTTCAGTCTGTTTCTGACCCGAATAACATCCCTAAAGGATTCCAATGAAATTGAGTTCCTCCCGATTGTAAACCAAACACACCACGCAATGGAATCTCATTTTCCAATTTGCGTCTAATCGCCAGCAAACCAAACATGTTTGTAAAGCAATAGAAAAGAAATGGAAACAATGCTTAGCATAGATAGATTAGAATGTTAGAATTTAGATGGGTGTGAATTAGCAACAAAAGTACTGAAATCTATATGATAAAACTAGAAATGAAAAACAAGCATCGGTTTTTTATCCCATGGATTCCTTCAATCAAGGACTATAGCCTTTTTGGTGCTTTCCATCACAATGTTGAGCTTTTCCAGCTCAGTCAACGCACTTCTCAACGGTTCCTTCACTTTGCTTTTTTTTCGCCTGAAAAACAACACAAGTTTTAAATTATTGTGGCATCCTACTTACATTTCTGTCTATTATCTCTTTCTTAATAAGACATTGTACTTTGAAAAATCTACCCATTTATAGACTTGAAAATTGTTTTTCTATTTGGATGGCATGGCTATATTTGGATAGATTTTTCAAAGTATGATGTTGTATTAGTATCATAAAATAAAAGTAGGATTAGGATGCACCATAATAAACAAATCAATGAAAGTATGTTGCTATTTATAGCATTAAACTGTAAAAAAATATTATCATATACCTTTAATGATGGCATGAGACCAAAAGCTTCACTGACAGATTCAATTGCAATATTTGCAATGACACAAATTTGGGAATAATATAAAAATTTTCATAAGAAAAGAAACTTATAAAACAAAACATGTTTGTGAGGTTTAGATTTGTACCTCGACATCAGAAACACCTTGGTTCTTGAGAGGTCTAGATTTCAGTTAAAGGATCAATACAAATAACAAGCAACGATTTATATACACAAAAGATTCATGGCATCGCATGCATGAAAAATGGGATGAGAAAAACCAACAAGCCAAAAAGAAGCTTGAATGAAAAGAGCTAAATGCAAGAAATAACAATGTTCTTCCACTTATTTGTTTATTGTAGCATCATAGTCTCATTTCTTTCTATTAGAGTGTTGTCTTTTCAATTTTTTCTTATTAAGACATTGTACTTTAGAAAAGGAACCTAGTTATAGCGTTGCATTTTCAGTTACTGTCTTATTAGGACACTTGTACTTGGAAAAACAAATAAAGGGAATTAATAAAAATGTAAAGGATACTCCAATAGTTTTCTAACAGAATGAGGATCAGTGTAATGATTGCCTCTGGATTCATACTGCAGTGTCTTATTAAATGAAATTGGGATTTTAATTGATGGGTCCTTTGACAGTAACACCATGTGTTCTTGGATTACTTGCAAGAATTGTACATGTTCACAATCCATCAAACATGTCACATTCTCAGGAATCCCTGCAATATACAAATACAAATCATTCAAGTTTCAAATTAGATAAATAAATTTATTGTATTTCAGATAAAGTGAAAAAGAATACTAACCCTCTTCAACCTTGAGCAAAAGTTTAGGAGGTTCTTTTTTTTAGAGCCTCCCTTTATCTCCATTTTCCCCTTTGCCTTGAGAATAATAGGTAGTACTTATTAGACTAGCAATCCACTTTTATTGAAAATTTTGAAGGAAAAGAAAAGCAGTAAAACAATCATACCTTTACTAGAATAGCCATCAACATTCCCATTAGACTTGCCACTTCCATTTGTCTCAAACCTTTCGTCAAACATATCTATGAAATTACACGAGTTAATGTGACATGATTCAAGTCAACACCACGTTTGATTAAATTCTCATGGAAAACACTAGTAATATGAAATGGGGTTAAAACCTTCTGGTGACCCCATTCGGCTTGACCCAAAATTGGTTCATAACTGGCACAAGAGAGGAGGTATCGTACTCGAGACCTCTGGAGGTGGTTTTGATCTTCAAAAGATCGTTGATGTCATTCAAAAATCGTCGCTTTAATCATGTCTTTTTTTTCTTAAACCAAAATCATCTCTCTCTTTGTGGCTATTTGTTAACTAGTATTATTCATATTTAGCGTGGGCTTGAATCCAATATCGATTATGAGTTAGATAGTGACAACCCAAATTAATGCTAAAATAATGAATCTGTTGCTAAATGTCTATTTTAATAGTATAAGTTATATATTAGGGCCGAAACTATTTTTTATGCGGAGGTTATATAAGCATTAATATTAGTATAGACAATATAAGGATACAAAAACCACGTACGTGTAAAAGAGAACCTCTTCTTCCGGCAACAAACCAAATTTTGCTATGAGCTGAGGAAAGAGAACTTAGACTTGTGCTTGGGGAAATTTTCTTGTTGCATGGCTCAAGGAGGGCTTGCAGTATGCGTTCCTTTCACTCAAATGAGTCCAAAAATCATCCCAACACAAGTTTTAATCATAGAGTCTTCCAAGCTCCAAGAAACCTTGTGTATTAGCTACGAGGTATTTGAGGAGACTCAATTGGGACGACATGTCTGATGGGTTTTAGGTAAAACAAATAAACTAGAAAAACAATTCCTAAGTTCACATGCAACCTACTTTGGATCTATGTTTTAACTATTGAACATACAACTTTGAATTGCAAACAAGAACCCTAGATGAGAGAGGCTAATTTCGAAATTAAGAAACTAGGGTTTAAATGTTACATACCTTTCAATTGTTATAGCAAACAATTGACAATCCTCTTGATCTTGATCTTGATCTTCTTGGAAGCTTAGCACCACAAATGTAATGCCTCTAATGGAATCACACCCAAGAACTAGCAAGAAGGAAACTTGAAGGAGAGAGAGAGGGAAGGCATGCAATTTTCGGCCTAGGGTTTCTTCCAAGGTAGGAGTGGCCGAAATTGTGAGCTGGGAGGCTCCTTATATAGCTGAGGGATCTAGGGTTTAGGGAAAACCCTAATGCTCCTTTGCTTAGGGCCTAAGCTAACCCAAAGGACTTATCCAAAGCCCCCTGGACGAAATCCCCAAGGTTTCCCCTATAGATTTCGTCCACCTCCTTCCAAGGAGGTTCTGGATCCTTCCACTCAACTATTAGATAATTACAAACTAGTCCCTGCACTTTATAATTAATATTTTTAACCCCAAAATTAATTCTGATTAATTTCTGGCTAACTATTAATTAAACATAATGATTTCTAATTAATATATTAATCTTTTAACATATTAATAAATCATTTATATTAATTTATTGATCTTATAAATTAATATCTCTCCTTTCATAATTTCCTTGTCCAGTTGCTAGGTTGAGGGCAACCCAAAAGGACTGTGTTGCTATCAATTCAAGTACATACCAATTATAGTTATGGGCTTAGACACCTAATCCAACAATGTCGTCCCTAAAGGTTGTAGGGACGAAATTTTTTAGTATTTGCGACGCTTTTTGTCGTCCTAATTGGTGCCGATTTTTGTTGTGCTTAGGAGTCAGGAAGGAGGACGAAGAAGAAAAAAAGGGTTTAAGTTCTTTCCAGTTATCGGCCTTTTCTGGTTATCGAAGCATTTGACCCTCACTGTTTGGTTCAAGCACATTAAACGTTCACCAAACCTTTTTTTATAGAATTTTTCTCTGATGGTCCCCGTAAATTTCAATAATTTCATAAGCATGTCTATTAAAGTGGAGAAATTTTTGGTCGATGTACATGCAAAAACTAAAAACAACGTACCACGTGTTGGATGATCTTATAAGGCTAATTGCACACATCTTCCTTCCCTCCGTCGTCCTCAGTCGGTGTCTCTCCTGACCATGTCGTCCTCCGCCATGAACCCTCCGATCCAAGATCAGCTTCAAACCCTCACAATTTCTCCCCTAACTGTCACCCTGAAACGCCTCCCCCACATCACCGACGACCTCCCGAACCTCCAGACTCAGACCAACCCTTTACAAAACAACAGCTTCTACCACCCCTGCGACGACGGATTTTACATCTCCCATTCCGACGTCATCCTTCGTCAAATCGTGTTTGACTTTTCCGGTAACTTCCCTTCCTCTTCCCCTCACTTGGCCTACCACCGTGCTGGTCCCCGAAAAGAGATATTCTTCGATCCCAAACAAGTGTGTGCTGCTATCGTGACATGTGGCGGCCTTTGTCCTGGGCTTAACACCGTGATTCGTGAGCTTGTGGTGGGTTTGTGGGAGCTTTATGGTGTCCGGGATATTTTTGGGATCAAAGCCGGCTATCGTGGGTTTTATTCCGGTGACCCCATTCGGCTTGACCCAAAACTGGTTCATAACTGGCACAAGAGAGGAGGTACCGTACTCGAGACGTCTAGAGGTGGTTTTGATCTTCAAAAGATCGTTGATGCCATTCAAAATCGTCGCTTTAATCAGGTCTTTTTTTTTCTTAAACCAAAATCATCTCTCTCTGTGGCTATTTGTTAACTAGTATTATTCATATTTAGCGTGGGCTTGAATCCAATATTAATTTTTGGTTAGATAGTGACAAGCCAAATTAGTGCTAAAATAATGAATTCGTTGCTAAATGTCTATTTTAATAGTATATGTTATATATTAGGGTCGAAAGTAAGTTTTATGCAGAGTTATATAAGCATTAATATTAGTACAGACAATAGAAGGATACAAAAAACCATGTGCGTGTAAGAGAGAATATCTTCTTCCGGCAACAAACCAAAGTTTGCTATGAGCTGAGGAGAGAGAACTTAGACTTGTGCATGGGGTAATTTTCTTGTTGCATGGCTCGAGGGCTTACAACATGCATTCCTTTCACTCAAATGAGTCCAAAAATCATCCCAAAACAATTTTTAATCCTAGAGTCTTCCAAGCTCCAATAAACCTTGTGTATTATCTACGAGGTATTTGCGGCGACTCAATTGGGACGACATGTCATCCCTAAAGGCTTTACGGGACGACATTTTTGAGTATTTGCGACGCTTTTTGCCGTCCCAATTGGTGCCGATTTTTGTTGTGCTTAGGAGTCAGGAAGGAGGACGAAGAAGAAAAAATAGTTTAAGTTCTTTCCGGTTATCGAAGCGCTCGATTCTCACTGTCTGGTTCAAGCACTTTAAATGTTCACAAAACCTTTTTTTATAGAATTTTTCTCTTATGTTCCCCGTAAACTTCAATAACTTCATAAGCATGTCTATTAAAGTGGAGAAATTTTTGGTCGATGTACATGCAAAAACTAACAACGTACCACATGTTGGATGATCTTATAACGTGAATTGCACACATCTTCCTTCCCTCCGTCGTCCTCAGTCGGTGTCTCAACCTGACCATGTCGTCCTCCGCCATGAACCCTCCGGTCCAAGATCAACTTCAAACCGTCATAATTTCTCCTCTAACTGTCACCCTAAAACGCCTCCCCCACCTCACCGATGACCTCCCGAACCTCCTGACTAAGACCAACCCTTTACAAAACAACAACTTCTACCACCCCTGCGACGACAGATTCTACATCTCCCATTTCGGCGCCATCCTTCGTCAAATCGTGTTTGACTTTTCTGGTAACTTCCCTTCCTCTTCCCCTCACTTGGCCTACCACCGTGCTGGTCCCCGGAAAAAGATCTTCTTCGATCCCAAACAAGTGTTTGTTGCCATCGTGACATGTGGCGGTCTTTGTCCTGGGCTTAACATCGTGATTCGTGAGCTTGTTATGAGTTGAGGAAAGAGAACTTAAACTTGTTATTGGGGCAATTTTCTTGTTGCATGGCTTAAGGAGGGCCTGCAGCATGCATTCCTTTCACTCAAATGAATCCAAATATCATCCCCGAACAACTTTTAATCCTAGAGTCTTCCAAGCTCCAAGAAACCTTAGAAAAAGAGACCAAACAATGCATAAAACTCATAAATCTAGATGCTAAATTCATAAAGGTCGGAACTTTATATCTTATAGAGTTTAATGACCTGTCTAGAAGGCTGAAACTTCACTGGATCTAGCTTCTCTTGGCACCAAATGACTAGTTTCTTCTTCAAGTTATACCATATGCACCAAATCTTCAAGATCTCACAGGAGGCTAGTGTTTTCTTGCTTAGGGTTTCTGGAGGTTGGAGGTTGGCGATGAAAGCAAACCCTCGAAGTTAGTGCCTTTAAATATGGCTTAAAGCTCAACATTTCTTAAGATTTCAAAGAAAGAGGCTAGGGTTTCCTTGCTCATCCTTGTTTAGCTCTAACTTAGGTTCCACCGAGTATTTAAATGAATTTCACTCATCCATACCTTCCTTCTCAAGTATGTATTTATCATAGGTTGTTTGCTTCAACTGATTTCGCCTTCACATTAACCCACATATATAGTATGACGGTGACCCAAGGTCACTCATCTCAAGTTCATTGTTTATTTGTTGCTTTAAAAACTTCATTTCAACACTACAAATTCCTATTACAAAAAGATCATCATCAACGTATACCCTATCGATTATGAGTTTTCGATCTTTATTTCTTATGTAAACTTCATACTCGTGTGGGTATCTCCAAAACTCCAGGATTTTTATACATTTATCTAAACATGAAATCCAATCTCTATGACTTTGACGGATCCCGAAAAGTTCTTTTGGCAAATTGCATACTTTTCTTAGTTGGTCAATCTTCACAAAACCCTCCAACTGAGTTGCGTATACATTTTCTTCCAACTTTCCATTTAGACCATATTTATTAGTCTCATAATCGCAATTGCTTGTTACATACTTATCCTAGGAGGTAAAAAAACAAATAAGAAACATTTGCATTTAAGCATTTGGTTGCAACCTTTAGGCATCCACAGTGCATTGAACTTTATAGAGTCCATTGGATTGTCACATCATCATTCTACATTCTATATAATTTTATCATTTTTTTCCTGCAATGCATTGAACTCTACAAAGTTCAATAGAACATTACAATAACTAATTTATAATATTTATTTTAGAATTAGAAAACCTTACTTTTTCTCACTGAAGAATTCAATGGTCATTAAACTTCAAATTTATTGAATGTGTCATCTCACAATAGTAGAGTTTCATTCATTTAATAACAACCAAACTTGCTAACCCATTCAACTCTCCATTGTGTATGCTCTTAGATGCTCCTACAATCTTGTGAATGCTCGGTTTCCAAGTTTAGGTATAATTTAGAATTAGATATTTTTATTTTTATTTTTTTTTACTTTTTTTTAATATATATTTATTGAATAATATATTTATTGAAAGTTTACAAAAAAATCTATCAAAAATCATGATTTTAAGTCTCTATAAATGAAGTATCTTATTAGTATATGTTTTGTACATATTTTAAGGTCTTAATAAAATGTGTTGTTGATTGTTTTAAGGTGTTGATAATTGAGAAAAAAAATGGTTATAGTATATATGGATGTGAGAGAACATATTTAAATGAAATAATAGGTTGTGACCTGTTGTTGATATACATACTCTTAGAAACATTGATTTTACATCAAGATTATGTACTATCCGTCAATTCTTGGACTGATGAAGCAAGTCAGACGTATACTAATAAACATAGTCGTAGAAACATTGATTTTCTTACTTATAAAATCAGTACATACATTGTTTAATAAGAACATGATTATGATTTATTACACATGATAACAACATACTAACATTTTTTTTTACCGATGATGCAACAAATAAAGTGTATAGCGCACATTGTTAGGGAAATGTTAGTATGATACCATCATGGGCAATAATTAGAGTATATTGTTATTATCGTCAAAACACATAAATAAATTATAAATTTGTAATGGTAGGAAAAAAGATATAATGCTAAATCGGGTAGCAAAATTGAATTACATTGTTATTCCTTTCCATTTTCCTTGAAATTAATGGGGGCTAACGGAAGAAAAAAAAATACCAATGTACTTCCCCAAGTTTTTATTTTATCGAATGTAATATTGTGTTTCATTACAATTTATCATTGTATTATAAGATTTTATCTATTATATCATTATACTTTAAAAAAAATTATTATAGTATTATATTTTTGAAATTCCATTGAATTTATTATGATTGAAAAATAATTTGTATGAAAAGTCCTATTATTTTTTACTACATATTAGTTTATGGAAAAGTCTTTAACTTTTTACTTTTTCAACATAATTTTATTTGATAATTTGTCATTTTCTGTATAAAAAACAACTTTTCCGTTAATTTAGGGATATTTTTGTTTAAAAAATAAAATTAAAACATTTTTCATAAACTATAATAAAATAATAAGATTTTTTTAATAATAATCTATAATTTTTTTCATAAAAAATGAAAATGTTAGAATCTACTCTAATAAATGAAAATCCATTTTGCCACATGTCAAATTTTTATAAGTTTTGACACTTGTCATTTTGTGGTATTTTTGAAATAAATAATATCCACATGTCAATTTCTAAGTTTTTTTAATTTTTAAAATAAAAAAACCACATAATAAATAAGATATATAAATAAGTATTAAATGTAATAAATTTGATCTTAAATTGCAATAAATATGTTTTTTCTTTCTTTATTTTAAAATTTAATTTTATAAAATACTTAATATTTATATTTCTATATTTAATTTTTTTTAATTAAGACATGTAATAGATGGGTCTCACACCTATTAAACAAATAAATAAAAATAAATTATTAACCTCATGTAGTAGAATTGATTGTATTTGTAATTGTAGGTATACATAACTGGAGGAGACGGAACTCTACGAGGGGCGGTGAAGATATTCAACGAAATCCAACGGCGGAAACTAAACGTAGCAGTCGTCGGAATCCCAAAAACAGTAGACAACGACGTCGGAATCATTGACAGGTCATTCGGGTTCCAAACCGCCGTGGAGATGGCCCAAGAAGCCATAAGCGCGGCCCACGTGGAGGCGGAGAGTGCACCGAATGGGATCGGGCTAGTGAAACTGATGGGGCGTCACTCCGGGCACATCGCCCTTGATGCAACCCTAAGCAGTTGCGATGTTGATTGTTGTTTGATCCCCGAAAACAAGTTTTATCTGGAAGGGAAAGGGGGTTTATTTGAGTTTCTTGGTATTCGCTTGAAAGAACACGGACATGCAGTGGTGGTGGTGGCGGAAGGGGCGGGGCAGGATATTATTCCGAGGAGTGATTCAGAGAAGCAAAAGACGGATGAATCGGGGAATCCGGTGTTCTTAGATGTTGGAGTGTGGTTGAATTCGGAATTGAAGAGATGGTGGGAAAGAGATCATAAAGGGGAGTTGTTTACAGTGAAGTACATAGATCCGACTTATATGATACGAGCTGTTACTGCGAATGCAACTGATAACTTGTATTGTACGCTTTTGGCACATTCCGCCATTCATGGGATTATGGCCGGATATACGGGATTTGTCACCGGTCCGATCAACGGGAACTACGCTTATATTCCGATGGAGGACGTGGCTCAGGCCAAGAGTCCGGTTGGGACCAAAGACCATAAATGGGCTTGGGTTCGATCCATCACAGCTCAGCCTGATTTTCAGTTCACTACATAGACTCACTTTTCTTCACAAGATTTTCGAATCAATGGAATTCAAAGATGGAATCACTGAATTATTATCTTTTCTGTCCCTATCACTGGTTGTTTGGTTAGAAATGGATGGAATTCAATGCTCAAATCTAAATAATTTTATACTTTTATTTGTATTTAAATAGTTTTTCTTTATTGTAATCGTATATAATTGAATTTTTTTATTTATTTCAATATATAAAGTTAAATACAAAAAAAGTAGGTACTTTTACTTCTTTGTGTTATAGCATTCATGGTATGGTATTTTGAAAAACATATCCAATGATAGCGATGTAATGCAAATACAAAACACAGATGATTTTTCTGAAGTAGTATGATGTCCTAATTATGGAAGAATAATACTATAACTGGACAGATTTTATAAAGTACGATGTTTTGATAAAAAAAATATAAATACAATGTTGTGATACAAAGAAATGCTACAATAAGCATATAAATGGACGTATGTTTGCTATTTCTTGCATTTAGACCTATCAGCGTAAGTAGGTATTATTTTGGTGTTTTAACAAAAAAAGAATAGTGGACTTGAATTCCTTCCATTAAACATTTTTTTTAGTTAATAAAAGGATTCCAACGGAATTGAATGGAATCTCATTTTCCGATTCCGTCTAATTCGCCAGCAAACCAAAAGCAATAGGAAAGAAATGGAAACGAGAGATAGATTAAAATGTTAGAATTTAGATAGATGTTGATTAGCAACAGAAGCATTGAAATCTATACACTAAAAAACAGAACAGAAAAACAAGCATCGGTTTTTTTTTCCCATGGATTCCTTCAATCAAGGACTATAGCCTTTTTGGTGCTTTCCATCACAATTTTGAGCTTTTCCAGCTCAGTCAACGCACTTTTCAATGGCTCCTTGACTTTGCTTTTTTTCGCCTGAAAAACAACACAAGTTTTAAATTATTGTAGCATCCTACTTACATTTATGTCTATTATTGTTTTTCTATTTGGATGACATGGCGGCTATATTTGAATAGATTTTTCAAAGTATGATGTTGTAATTGTATTAGTATTAGAAAATAATAAACAAATCAATGAAAGCATGTTGCTATTTATAGCATTATACCTTTAATGATGGCATGAGACCAAAAGCTTCGCCAACAGATTCAACTGCAGTATTTGCAATGAGACACATCTGGGAATAATATAAAATTTTCATAAGAAAAATACAACTATATCAAAAAACAAGTTTTTGAGGTTTAGATTTGTACCTCGGCATCAGAAACACCTTGGTTCTTGAGAGGTCTAGATTTATTTGAGTTAAAGGATCAAAACAAATAACAAGCAACGATTTATATACACAAAAGATTCATGGCACATGCATGAAAAATGGCAAGCCAAAAAGAAGCTTGAATGAAAAGTGCTAAATGCACGAAGTAACACTTATTTGTTTATTGTAGCATCATACTCTCATATCTTTCTATTAGTTTGTTGACTTTTCAATTTTTTTTGTTATTAAGGCATTGTAATTTAAAAAATGTACCTAGTTATAGCATTGCACTTTCAATTATTTGCTTATTAGGATGCTGTAATAAAAAAAAAAAAAAAACAAATAAAGGAAATGTAAAGGATACTCCAATACTTTTCTAACAGAGTGAGGATCAGTGTAATGATTGCCTCTGGATGCATACTGCAATGCCCTATCAAATGAAATTGGGATTTTAATTGATGGATCCTTTGACAGTAACACCATGTGTTCTTGGATTCCTTGCAAGATTTGTGCAGCTTCACAATCCATCAAACATGTCACATTCTCAGGAATCTCTGCACAATACAAATAGAAATCATTCCAGTTTCAAACTAGATAAATAAATGTATTGTTATTTTTATTTCAGATAAAGTGAAAAAGAATACTAACCCTGTTCAACATTGAGCAAAAGTGCACGAGGTTCTTTTTTTCCAGAGCCTCCCTTATCTCCCTTTCCCCCTTTGCCTAGAGAATAAGTAGTACTTACTATATTAGCAATGTCTACTTTTTTATTGAAAGATTTGAAGGAAAAGAAAAGCAGGTGAGAACAATCGTATATACCTTTACCAGAATAGCCATCAGCCTTCCCATTAGACTTGCCATTTCCATTTGTCTCAAATTTTTCATCGAACATGTCTATGAAATGAAATATTATAAGTTAATGTTTCATGATTCAAGTCAACACCATCTTGATTAGATTATTGTAGAAAATACTAGTAGTATGAAATGGGGTTAAAACCTTCGGAATCAAACTGAACTTTTCTTCCCTTGTCCTTTCCTTTAGAAGCTATACACAAAAGAATTTAAAAACACAGAAACAAGTGATAAGTAATTCAACCCCAAATAAATACCTACCTTCATAAGAGGCAAGAAATTCATTCAACAAAAAGGACTAAAAAAAGGCAGATTCCAAAGTGAAGAGCATCCAACTATGTTGTGTACAAGAACAATACAAGGGTTGTTTTCTCGTCATCCCAATGTAAGAATTCAAACCCATAAAAAGAGATATGATATGAAAGAAAAAACCCAAATTGAAGCAGAAAATGGAGAGAATATGGCGTCGGAAAAGTTTCGCATTGCATTAGGGTTTTTTTTTCTTTTACCTGGAGATTTTAAAGCAGATTTCCCTCCCTTTTCTCCTTTCTCAGACATTTTAGCTACAAAAACATATACGCAGTCAGAGAAACCAAGATTTTAGACATCGCTGTTAACCAAATTTTTCTTCACCAAGACTAAAATAAAAGATTTTTTTTTTTTTTTTTTCATCATGTACGATATGAAAGATGCATTAAAGAAATGAAGATCGAAGTTGAAAAGAAATGATTTTACCTTGGGAGTCAGGAAGACGAAGAAAAAAATGTTTAAGCTGACAGCAGTGCCGTCGAGCTCCCCCTTTCCGGATATCGGCCTTTGCCTAGAGAGAAGCGTTGCACTCTCAGTCTGGTACAACACTTTAAACGTTCACAAAACCTTTTTTTTTTTTTTTTTGTGAGAATTTCTTTTAATATTTTTCTAAACTGGTAATTATGTTTATATTTTATAAAACTTCAACTTACGTTCATAATTTAATAATTATATTTATATTTTTATAAAGCTTTAATATTTTTATAAAATATATAAACTTATATATATACAAAAATATTTAAGTTAATCATAACTAATCTATTTTAAAATTAAAAATATTATCTTTAAATTAATTTTTAATTATCAAAAAACTAATTAAATTATCACCTTATAATATTATCTTTCTCCCAAATCGATAGAAATATAAATGTATCTGATCGATAAGTTAGGGTCAATATATCATTCATGAACTCGCCTAATAATATTCAGAGACCAAATAGAGTTTGGATCTTCTATTCAAAATCTGACATAAAATTGCCATCAACCAAAATCTGATGTCTACATTGATAGCTACTTTTAAGATGTTGATTGATAACAAACTAAGGATCAGTAGAATTCATATGTTTGGAGCTATTGATATGTCATAAATTATGCATATTTTAAGGGATATATTATTTACGTTTCTACACACTTTTATATATATTTGATATTGAAATGTTATAAAATCTCAAGGATCATCTAAGATTCAAAATTCCTCAAAATGACTTATGGTGGTAGTATTGCCAACCATTAGGACCATTTATGTAATTTTGTCTTTTTTAAATGATAAACATATTCATAATAAACCCTCACAAAGTTATATCAGTTTTAATCTTTATATCAATTTAGAATCTGATGAAATATGCTAATTTCATATTCATCTGGAAGTTGAGAAATAAGGAGCATGTGAATGACTTGCCCAAAGTCACCTTTAAGATGTATATATAAAGTTAGCAAACAAGTTTGTTTGTTTCATAAGTCCAAAAAATGTAACTTAAAAAAAAAAAAAAAAAGTTTAGTAACATCTTCAAATAGATCTATCTGGACCATCTTCTATTCAAAATTTCAAAGTCTACAAAGTTTTTGTTTTTAACACAAAAAGTGATTCTTGGAACAAATAATGCATTACCAACAAATGTGTAAGATTGTTTCCATTTATACAAACCCTTGTGATAAACATGATATAAGTCGCTCTTTCCGGCATTTCACGCACCTCTATCAAGTGGGATTGTTGAGAAGAAACAAAGAATTTTACAAGAACCTATTTTTGTGACATGCTCGGTGGACAAGCATTCCTAAAATGTTCTGGTGTGGTGATATTATAATGGCCATATTATGCATCTTCAAGAAAACCCCTTATGAGCTTGATGATTCTAATCTCTTAATGGTTCAAAAAAACTAAGATTCTTTAACCGTTCAAAGGCTTTTTACGTTCACGTTCACGTTCAGATTCATATTCAAGGTGACCTATGAATGATTTTATTCAGAGTTTATCCTTGATCGATCATCTTACTACTAGAATAAGCATACACGGACAACAAATGACAATAAAGGAGCTTTAAAAGGAGATGATAGCATGTGTAGTAGTATTAGTATACTATAAAAGTCTTAATATTTAAATCCGTGGTAGTAAGTAATAGAGTGTATAAACCTTGAGAAATGTGTGTATAAACCTTGAGTCTAGGCTACTTTCCTACACTTGTACACAACAACTACATTGGCTTTCCAAAATTGATTCCAAATGAAATGGGGGGTTATTACAATTGACAACTATACAAAATACAAAGCGCTATCTATGATACGCTAGAAATTTGGCTTACAAAATGTCTGTCTATTTAGTATATTGAATGATTTGATTTGAGTCTAAGTTGAGCCCTGCATCTGTTGTTTTCCTGCTACAAACTCCTTCTCAATTGTACTAAACATGATCATCATACGATCTTGGAGATTGGCGTGTATGTTTTTTGTGATCTTTTTCTTATGTTTTGTGCTTTTTAACCATGCAATCCCAAAATACACCACCACTTTACATCCAATGGATCTTGAAGCTTGATCCTCTATTTGGTACTTGGTATGAAGCTGTCAAAATAATTACTTCCAAAACACGTTAGGGCCACTTTCATATAATTCTCTATAATGGCATCCTGCTTACCTTTATTTTTATTACAGTATTCTACTTTGAAAAAATTATCAAATTATAACACTATACTTCCAATTTTTTTTTCTTATCATAGCAGTGAAAGTTACATTGTATTGGGAGCATATTTCTACAATCGGGTAGATTTTTAAGTATAATGTTGTAATAAGATAAAATGGAAGTAGATGTTATATATAGTAAACAAATCAATGAAAGCAGACTGCTATTTCTTTCATTTTAACCCAACACATTAATATATTAAGAAATAGCAATGTACTTTCATAAAATTGTGTATTATTGCATCCTTCTTTCATTTTCTTTTTCTTATTAAAACATTGTACTTTGAAAATTCCACCCGATTATAGCATTGTACTTCAAAATAAAAATAATGAAAATATATCTTATTATACCAATGGAAATTACTTTGTAATTGAATTCATATCACTATTATTAGGTTGATGTTTTGAGTACAATGTTGTAATAAGAAGATATAAGCCTAGGATGGTATAATAAGCAAATCAATGAAACTACATCGATATTTCTTGCATTTACCCCAACATGTTATTTTATTAAGAAAGAGCAAAGTACTTTCATATATTTGTGTACTATAGCATCCTACTTTCATTTCTCTCTTACATCATTTTATCAAGGCACTGTGCTTTGAAAAAATCAACCCAATAATAAGCAGTATACTTCAAATATTATAAATCAATTTGTATGTGGATATCATTGCTACAAATATAATTGGGTAGATTTTTTTCGTTACAAAGTTGTAATAAGAAGAAATGAAAGTATGATGCTATAAAACGAAAGCGCATTGCTATATTAAGAAATGTCAATGTAGTTTGATTGATTTGTGTATCATACTTTGATTTGTTTCTATTACGGTACCGCATTGAGCTCTGAAAAATCTACCCAATTATCGGATTGTACTTACGCTGTAACCGGATAGATGGGTGTGTATTTTTTTTTTTTTTTATAAATAATAATAATAATAATGTAATTAATAAGAGGAAGAGGAAGAGGAAGGAAATGGTATTTACGGTGAAATAGTCGCCAAGTGGGACCCCATGGAGAGTGGTGACCTCTTCGACAAGCCAACCGTTTCGGTCTCTGGATTTTTTGCTGAGTGGTGGTGACTTCTCCTCCATAACGAGAGACGCTGATGTCAAATTTGTAATAAGTCTGTCTCTGATAAACATCCGGCTTTTCAAACTCCCATGGGCTCGTTGAATAATTCACACAGTGCGCCCTGTCCATTGCTCTCCGCTCCAACTCACTCCCACTAAACAGCTCCATGACAAAATTCGACTGTGACACAATTGGAAATCAATCACAAATGTTTTCCTAAAATAAAATATGCATCCAACTCCAAGTATAAGGACTCACAGGGACCGAAAGAACAGAGGAGTAGACAACAGACAGGCTGACATCTTGAATGCCTAAAAAGGATCCGCTCTCTTCACTCTGAAGGGTTTTGTTATCAGAGTCATCATCACTTCTAATGGATGATGTCGATTCCTCTTCAACCATCTTATCATCAGATTCCTCTTCAGCAATTAGTGCCTTCTGCTCAGGACTCAACGCTCTCGCCCTCCACAAAGCCATTATCGTCCTATCACCCAAAATCACAACAATCCATACTCTTTCTTAAATACCAATCAATCTACTTTCATTTCTTTTTAAAGAAAAAAAAAAAAAATACCTACCTGTGTGCAACATTGAAAGACACAAAAGACTGGAAATGAAATTTGAGCCTGCCTTGTGGATCTTGTGTCTTTGCACCATGCTTTGCATCCAAGCCTTTGCCTGGAAGTAATGTTATGACCACAATCGGACTACCCATTGATGACAAAGTAGGTGGGACCACTTGAATATCTTCTATGTCTTCCCATAGAAAATAAAAGTTTGTCTTGTGTCCAAATATGTCCCCATGGAACCCTATTATTCTTGCTGACAAAAACAAACGACCCTGCACCAAAAAACAATAAATGTAAAATCACATAAAAGGGCATTAGCAGGAAAATGACCATATAAGGGTATATTTGGAAACCTTGTGTCAAAACGTACCTGGAGGGGCATTTTACGCTTCAAATGACATGTAAAATCATTTATCAAAAACTCCTCTGGTGGAAGCTTAAAGAGCTTCTGAAATGCCGAGTTTGTTTGAGGAGAACGCAATTTTATCTGGATAATTTTTTTAAAAAAGAAAAGTTAAATCACAGAAAGTGAGCGAATCAAACAAGAAAAAGAAAAGAAATTACCTTCTTTCCAACCTCTTTTTCCATCTTGGTCAAATATTCTTTGATAATATTGCTACCTCTTGTATTATTCAAAAAAATCCTCAAATGCAATTTAGATTGACAGGCCTGTGCTAACTTCCCTTGAAGAGGAATCCACACATCACCCAAATCAGAAATATTTGTTTTTACAAAATTTATTTGAGTACGCCCCAAAGACACAGCTTCATCAAAAGGTCCATCAAAATCATAAACCTCAACATCCAAAGTAGATGGAGGGTCATCCATTGCATCAAATTCAAATATTTCTGCATCCAAAAAAAAAAAAATTGCATTTCAAATGAGGATGACGAGGGCGTTTCTGTCTTTTTCAAAAATCACACTGACTCACCATTCCAGCGAGGATCGGATTTTTGGAATTTTATTGAGCTGGTTCTTGTTTTCCCATTGCATGTGAAGACAACGTATGGATCAGATAAGCAACTTGAATCAACAGCTGCTAAATTGCTTCCTTCAACCAATGCCACAGTCAGCAACCATCCATCCCCTTGTGCTTTTATTCCATGATCACCACCTGCAAATTACAATTTACAATTTTCAAAAAGGGTATTATTAAAATTACCATTTTACCCTTACATACTAAATACTAACAAATTTCACAATATTCGTCAATTTTAGCATGAGAGGAGTTGGAAGGAAAAAGAGAAAGACAAAATGACAAATAAGGTAAAGGGTTCGTGTCTTAATACAAAAAAAACTCCAAATTGAGTGAAAAAGAAAGCAACATGTATATCTGCCCAGATTAAGTGGTTAAGTGAAAAAGAAGCAATAAAAATAATTATACCTTTTTGCACTCTAGCTTGCATAAAGCGTGATATGAGATACATAACTCTTTCACCTTGAAGAACCAAAACTCCACAGACAACAACTTCACCAATTGAATCTGGTAAATCCAAGCCACCAAATTCAAGGCCTTGAATGGTACTAGGCATGGCTAAAAAGAGATGCACAAGCACATACAATCCCATGAAAAAAGTCGAAATGACAGTGAAATTAGCAAAATATTGAACAGCAAGCTTCCAATCTGACTGTGGTTCCACCTGTAAAGATGCCAAAGCTTGTTCTTTTTCTGATCCAAAATCTTTCAAATCAACCACCTTCAGCTTTTCACCCAACAAACCCCCAACCTGCTCAAAACTATCCTTCACACCTTGGCGGGCCCCACCTTCTATCATACCCTTCATCATTGTGTTATGCAAGAAATTCATCCGCCATGAAACCACCAAATGAGAACACTCTTCCCCTGATGGAAGCTCGGGTCCTGGAGAAATGGAGGTCATAACCTCAACCCTGTAATTGCTTGCATATGGAGCTTCTGGAGTGTTCACACTTGCTAAAACTGCAAAACATTTACCATCTGCTTTCAAATATGTTTGATCTTCGATTGCTTTTATTGCTTTTATTAACCTAGATGCTGCTTTCACGTATGTAACCACTCTTTTTAGACTACTGCTTTCTGTGTCGAATTTCCATGGTCCCACTTGAAGATCTGTACTTCCTTGAATCTCTGCTAATTGTTTCAGATAGTTTGATTCGGATGAGAAGATGAAAGAATTCAATTCAGATGGTGAAATCGCATACATCTGATCCAACATTACACCTCCAGGTAAATTAGCAGGCATCTCCCTGCCTTCATCTTTCTCTTCCATGTTTTTCATTAGTTCTCCAAAGTTTGCAGATGAGATTTGTTCTTCAGTTTTGTCCTCGGATACCTCTGAGTCGTCGGTTTCGGGCACCTCGGGTAGCTCGGTCAGTTTAGTAGTCACGGATTGTAGGATTGGTTCGTTGTTTCTGTTGAAAATCTGAGAAAGCAGACTTGAAATCTTCTCTTTGTTTGTTTTTTCCTCTTTCATGGGTGCAGCAGCTTCTTCTGACCTCATTGGAGATGACATTCTTGAACTAGTGGAAGACCTTGCAGGCGACAATGCTCCATTCTCAGCTTGTGCTTGCAAGTCCGATTGAGGGTTATTTTGGGAAAAACATACCGTCAGAAGAATTTCGCCTGGTAAAACCATTCAATTCATACATTTCAAAACAAGATCTGTATGTATCACATACATAAAATAACAGAGAGTAAGTAAGTAAGTAAGTAAGTAAGTAAGAAGATTACCGCATTCTTTGAACTTGGATTTCTTCTTGGGCTGCAAACGATACCATATAGTACCAAGGGATTTGTCAACAGTATCGAAAACCTGAGAAATGGGGATTTTAATACTGCCAACAAAATCATCATTGAAGTACTTATCTTCATTCAACACAGTAACAACAAGCTGCTCCTTCAAATCCTCCACCTTGAAGCTAAACTCATCGCACCAAGAAGGGTTCAAGCACTTTTTCACCACTTTAGTCTTGAACCTCTGGCTCCCTAGTTTTAATTTCACATATGGATCAATGGAACCATTTGGATCTATTGCAGGTAGATTCTTGGCTTCAATCACACGAACTAACAGCTTCATATCCAATCAGCAGAATACAAACTTCGGAGTAATGTTAATGTGAAGTAAATTGCAATCGGTAGAGATCACGGAAGTGGATTGACGTTTGCCGAAAAGGGGCACATTGTAGTAGAGATCAATGAACTCGGTGAATTCAGCATAGGGGGGAAGGTCAACCAAAAACCCAGAAAATTGATAAAATGATTTATAAAGCGGAATATTACGAAACTGGAAAAGGGTCTTGGAGATTCTTCAAGTCTGAAAAGGGGCAATGGAATAAACAAACCAAAAACCCAGAAAATCGATGAAATGATCGAGGGGATCAATCAAGAAATTGGGACAAACGAAGTGGATGAATTTGGAGAAAACAGCAGAAAAGAAATGACAAGAAAAACGTATAGTTGGTTGATACACCCGTGACGATTTGAAGAGCAAGGAAAAGATTGATTGATCGAGGAAGAAGAAGAAGAAGAAGAAGGAGATTGTTGAATTCAATTCAATTTTTGTAGCAGACGACGGGAAGAGACTTTGATCTATTTTTATTTTTCCTGAGAATAAAAATATAAAATAATAATAACATTAATAACTACCATGTGGCAATTGGCATGTAGTTCATACTTCATTTCTTTTGTTTATTACCAATTAGGCAATTATCTTTTTTTTTTTTCATTTCCTTTTTCAATCTATGTTATTCAAATACGGATTGCGCGTCTCTCTTTGGAACCATTTGACTTATTGGAAACTTTCTCCCATCTTTTAGTTTTGTTCATTATTAGTTCACCAGATTAGGTATTTTTCCTTTATTTATATATTTTTTAATAAATACATTTGCCCTTAAACGAAAATCTAATTGGTTATGACGTGCAAATTAAAATATACTTCCTTATGTATTCAGCAACTTTGTTCGATCCTATCTTAATTACACAAAAATTAAATTAAATAAACAAATAAACTCATGGCACTGTGCTATGCATGTCTGTAACTCTAAAAGTAGTTTAACAATGTGTTAAGTATTTTTTTAAAACGGTCGATCATTTTTTTAGTTGACCAAGACGTTTAGTAATTAACTGACTTTTCTTCATAAAAGCTTGTAACGTCTACAGCTTGTACCACTGGACGAAAGTCCCTTATTCCATATCAGTTATAGTTTTCCGGTAATCAGCATCAAACATTTCTCCAAATGATATCGGGTTGTATCATTGTCTTGCTTTACACAATGTCCTATGTGTCTTCATTCTAGCGGCGATACATGCCGATTGGTCACTAATCCACCACCCTCATTGGTGAATGATATGGACATGGTTTTATAAGTGTCTATTTATATAGGTGTTTTTCTTCTCTCTCTATAAGAACTACTTTGGAGAGTAAACCAAAGACTTTACATATATCATACAACTTCTACTCGTTGTCTTTTATGTGAGTTATATTGACAATTTTTAAATGTAATTCAAGTTTGTTATCATGACCACTCCAATTACAGGTGTGTGTCATGTCACTTACCTTATATAGTGAATCATTTATATAGTAAATCCTTTATCGAGTAGTCTTTGAATTTGAGACTAAATAGAGTTGTAACACTCGTTTTCATGTATAGGCCAACTAAGAACTTGAAAGAATCAAAAGGAAGGTTTTTAGGAAAATTGGGTGCCACGACGTGGAGGATAGACTGCCACGACGTGGCATGGAAGATACAAAACGCGTGTTTTGGATGGCCGCCACAGCGTGGCAAGAAGAAGGTCACGACGTGGCAACAACTGCAGCCCAATCCTATGATCTTTTAGGGTTTCTCCCATATTTAAGCCCCTGAACTTTAGGTTTAGGGCATTCTCTTCAGCCTCCAACACTTCCATATGAAACCCTAGCATCCATGAATGATTGAGACTCAATTTCCTTGATTTGGAGCTTTGTTCTTGGATTTTTGATTGAGTTTGAGAAGAAGGAAGATTACAAGAAGAAAGGAGCAAGTTTGGATCCAATATTCTCTTTAGTTTTCTGAACTATTGGAGATATAAAGTTCATACCTTGACATCTCTTCTTTTGGATTCAAGTTTTAGGTCATATTTGGGTGGTTTTAGTCCCCTCCTTGAGTGTTTTTGGAGTTTGAGGAACTCAAGAAATTGTGGTGGCTTTCTTAGGTTTTTATACTTCTGTTGATTGAGAAAAAGGACCATGTTTGGTGTATTTTGTGTTCATGCTAAATTTATGGCCTCATTAAGGACTTAATGGACTTTAAATTGTAGATTTAGCCTTCGAATTGAGTCCTAATGGATAAAGTTGGAAACTTTATCCATTAAGTCATTGAAAAGAAGTAGATATGAGATTTTGGGTTCAGATCTGTAAGGATTAAGCACTTAATGAAGTTTTTGGCCTTCTGATGGTTCCCACAACCTGGCAAAGGGATTTCTATGACGTGGCGTTTGTCTGAGTCGTGACTATTTTGTCCCGGTGTGTCCACGACATGCAGTGGTGGTGGTGGCGGAAGGGGCGGGGCAGGATATTATTCCGAGGAGTGATTCGGAGAAGCAAAAGACGGATGAATCGGGGAATCCGGTGTTCTTAGATGTTGGAGTGTGGTTGAATTCGGAATTGAAGAGATGGTGGGAAAGAGATTATAAAGGGGAGTTGTTTACAGTGAAGTACATAGATCCGACTTATATGATACGAGCTGTTACTGCGAATGCAATTGATAACTTGTATTGTACGCTTTTGGCACATTCCGCCATTCATGGGATTATGGCCGGATATACGGGATTTGTCACCGGTCCGATCAACGGGAACTACGCTTATATTCCGATGGAGGACGTGGCTCAGGCCAAGAGTCCGGTTGGGACCAAAGACCATAAATGGGCTTGGGTTCGATCCATCACAGCTCAGCCTGATTTTCAGTTCACAACATAGACTCACTTTTCTTCACAAGATTTTCGAATCAATGGAATTCAAAGATGGAATCACTGAATTATTATCTTTTATGTCCCTATCACTGGTTGTTTGGTTAGAAATGGATGGAATTCAATGCTCAAATCTAAATAATTTTATACTTTTATTTGTATTTAAATAGTTTTTCTTTATTGTAATCGTATATAATTGAATTTTTTTTATTTCAATATATAAAGTTAAATACAAAAAAAGTAGGTACTTTTACTTCTTTGTGTTATAGCATTCATGGTATGGTATTTTGAAAAACATATCCAATGATAGCGATGTAATGCAAATACAAAACACAGATGATTTTTCTGAAGTAGTATGATGTCCTAAATATGGAAGAATAATACTATAAGTGGATAGATTTTATAAAGTACAATGTTTTGATAAAAAAAATATAAATACAATGTTGTGATACAAAGAAATGCTACAATAAGCATATAAATGGACGTATGTTTGCTATTTCTTGCATTTAGACCTATCAGCGTAAGTAGGTATTATTTTGGTGTTTTAACAAAAAAAGAATAGTGGACTTGAATTCCTTCCATTAAACATTTTTTTTAGTTAACAAAAGGATTCCAACGGAATTGAATGGAATCTCATTTTCCAATTCCGTCTAATTCGCCAGCAAACCAAAAGCAATAGGAAAGAAATGGAAACGAGAGATAGATTAAAATGTTAGAATTTAGATAGATGTTGATTAGCAACAGAAGCATTGAAATCTATACACTAAAAACAGAACAGAAAAACAAGCATCAGTTTTTTTTTCCCATGGATTCCTTCAATCAAGGACTATAGCCTTTTTGGTGCTTTCCATCACAATTTTGAGCTTTTCCAGCTCAGTCAACGCACTTTTCAATGGCTCCTATGATCTTTTAGGGTTTCTCCCATATTTATGCCCCTGAACTTTAGGTTTAGGGCATTCTCTTCAGCCTCCAACACTTCCATATGAAACCCTAGCATCCATGAATGATTGAGACTCAATTTCCTTGATTTGGAGCTTTGTTCTTGGATTTTTGATTGAGTTTGAGAAGAAGGAAGATTACAAGAAGAAAGGAGCAAGTTTGGATCCAATATTCTCTTTAGTTTTCTGAACTATTGGAGATATAAAGTTCATACCTTGACATCTCTTCTTTTGGATTCAAGTTTTAGGTCATATTTGGGTGGTTTTGGTCCCCTCCTTGAGTGTTTTTGGAGTTTGAGGAACTCAAGAAATTGTGGTGGCTTTCTTAGGTTTTTAGACTTCTGTTGATTGAGAAAAAGGACCATGTTTGGTGTATTTTGTGTTCATGCCAAATTTATGGCCTCATTAAGGACTTAATGGACTTTAAATTGTAGATTTAGCCTTCGAATGGAGTCCTAATGGATAAAGTTGGAAACTTTATCCATTAAGTCATTGAAAAGAAGTAGATATGAGATTTTGGGTTCAGATCTATAAGGATTAAGCACTTAATGAAGTTTTTGGCCTTCTGATGGTTCCCACAACCTGGCAAAGGGATTTCTATGACGTGGCGTTTGTCTGAGTCGTGACTATTTTGTCCCGGTGTGTCCACGACGTGGCCAAGGGATGGCTACGGTGTGGCAAGGATCTGTGAGTCGACTATTTTGTCCCAAGAATCCCACGACATGGCAGAAAGAGCTCCACGTCGTGGCAAGAGTGTTTTGTTAACCATTAACTTTTGCTGACCGCTGACTTTTGACCAGTTTGACTTTTGGTCAAACTTGGAGGAATTAAGTTGTTGACTGAGGTTCCATCTTTTCCTGGTGCTAGTCGGTTCGCAAGTTGGATCAACGAGAGGAGTTGAAGCGTTGTTGTGTCGTTACGGGTTTTCGATTCAGGTCAGTTTCCTCACTATACTCGTGGGTTGAAGGCACTAATGTCGGCCCACTAGATTTTATTATGTATCCGTGCGTGTTACAGTATATATATCCTTGTGTGTTAGGATGTAGGAGTAGTGGTATGCTGGTTAGAGTACCAGTAGGTTGGTTATCGTCTAGTGGAGTGCCCTAGGGGTTGTATGTAGTCGCGTAGGATAGCCTGAGAACTCTTGATCTAGGCTTTCTTTCATGTCCCTCGTTTGGTTGTGGCTCTAAAGTAGGATCATCTATTTGGATGTCTATCTCACCTCTGGTTACATATAGTTACACATTCCTTGGAGATTTTTCGGTAGTGGCATAGTGTATTGGAAGAGGCCTAGAATGTGATAGTGAGTTGTTAGATAGGTAGACTTATGTAGATAGTTGTATGTGTTTATGTGTTACTTGATTGCTTGTTTGATTATATATATGTCGACGTATTGTGGTGGGTCAGGTTGAGGCGGTCATGCTTTGTGATGTAGGCTAAGATATCAGGTTCAAGCCAGCCGTAAGCTGTAGCATGAGGGGAAGCCAATTATGGGTTTGAGGCTCAGGGGAGTGGTTGTGTTGAGGCAGCATGCCAACATACCCAAGGAAATCTAATCTTTGTAGTTGTAGGCACGGGGCAATCCAGTCTTTGTGAGTGTGGGCCCAATGTACATACATTGTATGTTTTTTGTGGCGTGTGGTATTTTGGGGAAAACCACTAAGCTTCGTGCTTATCCAGTTATTTATAATTTTTCAGGTACCATTGGTGATCGTGGGAAGGCGAAGGCATGATTGTACACATTCATTAGCAGCAACGGAGATTCCATGTTTTCTATATCACTCTCATTTTTAAACAATGTACTTTGGAACACCTGGTTTTCTTAACTTGGATTCTTTATACGTGAAGCTTTACCTTAATTAAAAATGAAAATTTTGGTTGTGAAAATGAGATTTTACAAGTTGGTATCAGATCTATGGTTTGAGAGATTTGGAGGAACACTTGTGTGAATCCAGACTCAAAATAGGATCCGAGAATTTTCACAAAACGTTTTTGAAAAAGAAATTTTTAACAAAACGGTTTGGTTAGGGTCATCAGCTCGGTCTCTTGTCATGTACTTGTTTGATTGTTGGCTTGGGATTGGGAACGTGGACCTCTGAATTAATATTGGTTTTACAAAAGATGCGATGTGTACAGTCAGCCAGAACCCGAACAGGAAAGTGATTCCCAAAATACCCATACTTGTTATATATGTTGAACTTGAACTTGCGGATATGAGAATTGTTAGAAATGCATGCTAGTGGATAAGTTAAGGATTCTTTCAGGAACTGTATGATAGTATTGATGGGTTTTGAGCATAACTACAATCCTATGTGATCATGCAACCCTAATTGCTTTGTGTAACATCCTGTTTATTAAATAAATAAATAGATAAAATTGATGAACGAATAATCGCCCTAAATCTATATTATTTAGTGGAGTGTTGGTTTTGGAGAGCTGAATGTTATAATTTGGATTATTCGGGGGTTAAAGTGTAATTTCAAGACTTGTTTTGCAAAGGATTTTAAAGGCCAGGGGTGTTTGGTATTATTCAGACTTAATTTGAAGAGATGTTGGAAGTTAAGGGCTGAATGGTAAGTATTGGATTAAAGTTGAGAAGATTTTATGAAGGCAGGGGCTAAAAGGTAAGATTTGAGTTTAAATTGGAAAAGATCTAGTGGGGAGGGGCCAATATTGATAAAAATGGGTATAAGATTGGTGAAACACGGGTGACGCCCATCACTCCCCCTCATGCAGCCCCCATATATATTGCATTAGAAACCCTAACCCTAGGAGGGATATATCAGCCGCCACCCTCTCCACCTTCAACCTCCAGCCGCCACCATTCGTATCACTCGTTTTTTCCGATCAACTCGGGGACGCCGTCGACTGCCGTTAGCCACCAATGCTTTGTCGCCGATGCGATCTGTCAACCGGCACATCGTCACTCTCATGGCCGATGACGGTGAGGCTTAAGAGCGAATGTAACATCCCAAAATTCAAGACCAAAAAATTTCATTTTTAGATAAGTTATTATAAACCAACAGTATAATAAAACATCCATAACATCATGTCGTGTCAAAAACCAAAGTAGAAATAATCAGAACATGTTATCATAAAACAATATCAGAGTGTAATCCCAAAGATCTCATGTGCGAAAAACCATAGTGTGATGCGCTGCGATCAAGCCGGCTCCTTTCCTTTGAAAACGAGTACCTGAAACCAAAACTGTAAACCGTAAGCACGAAGCTTAGTGAGTTCCCCCATCATACCACATACCATATAAACACATAATGCCTAGCATATCTGGGTGTTGGCCTCCCCTTCGGTATCTTTCAACCGGTAACTGCCTAGCATATCTGGGTGCTGGCCTCCCCTTCGGTATCTTTCAACCAGTAACTGCCTAGCATATTTGGGTGCTGGCCTCCCCTTCGGTATCTTTCAACCGGTAGCTGCCTAGCATATCTGGGTGCTAGCCTCCCCTTCGGTATCTTTCAACCGGTAACTGCCTAGCATATCTGGGTGCTGGCCTCCCCTTCGGTATCTTTCAACCGGTAACCGGGGACTATTTCACCCCTACCACTATCACATAATAACATAGTATAACATACATGAATATATTGTCAGGCATATCTGGGTGCCCGACCAACCCCTTCGGTATCTTTCAACCGGTACCCGGGGACTATTTCACCCCTACTACTACCACATAATACCATATCATGATCATACTGCTAGGCATGCATGGGTACTATCTACCCCTTCTGTATCTTTCAATTGGTAACTAGGGGCTATATCACCCCTACCACTACTAACACATATGTCATAGCATCCTAGCACATAAAGCATATCAGATAACAACACACCAGATAATTATCACAAAGACAATCATCTAACAAACGATTCCTACTAGTGGGCCGGCATTGTGGCCGTAGACCCACTCCTACTGGAAGGTAACTCACCTCACACTGCTGAAGTCCCGTAGACACAATCCCACACTGCTGTAGTCCCGCAGACTCAACCCTAGCTGTTGGATGACAGATTCCCGAACTGTCAATCACAAAAATAACACCCAATTAATAATTAGGTTCCACTA